TTTTTTATTCTTACTTTAATTTAGACTATCTTTTTATTCCATCGTTTTTTTTTCCTTTTTTTCTCTCAAACGTCTGCTTTCTCCTATATAACCGCTTGCACTTGCACGGTTGCAGTACAACTTACACAATTGTTTCTAATTACAATGGCTAGCTACTAGTCCATTCATGAGTAAAATAATTAGAAATAATCCGACAATAACTTTAGTTTCTCCAATTTCTTAGAAGTCAGATAGAATACCATATCCCTGTGGATTTGACTCTACTTGCCCTACTACATTGTTAGTTGATTTTGTTAGGAATTTAATTTTGACAGGTATACGACAACCTATCAAATTTTGGCAACGTTGCCGAGGAGACGTCTTAATTTATTTAGCTTCTTATTTGGTGAGATTAATCTGTATATATTTTTTCTTTCTTGTTTTTTCTTCTACTAATTCTTGTGTTTGTAGGTTTTCTTGCTCTTTTGTGGATTTATTTTAATGGCTATTTTATATTTTTCACAATATGAGAATAAGGTGTTTTGGAGATATTGTTATAGGCTTGGTGACTTTGTTGGTCCTAATCATGGAATTGAAGAATGGGATATGTGCTTAGTGATTTATAAGGGTCTAAATGAAGAAGCCAGTTTATTGTTGAGTTTATATGTAGTGAAGAATCTTTTGGTTGGGATTTTATTGAGTGGTTTGCTAGAGATACACATGAGTGGTTTGTTAGAGCCCCCCTTCCGATCTAGGTGATCATTATGGGATCGATTCTCATCACTCACCCTTGTGGCTCTCTAAACACCAAAAACAATAAAGTAGGAATTTTTATACGAAAGTTAGAATTATATGTTTCCTGAAAGGATCTTTAATTACCCATTAATTGGGAATAAAAGCATGGGTTTTAATTTAATTTTCAGCTTGTTTTACAGAATTTATAAGTGATTTAAAGAGTTTATATATTGCTGGAAATTTATATTGAATAGGTATTAATGTCTCTTTGTAATTTTGGGTTGTAGAAGACTTCCAAGTGAGTGTTTTCATTTAGTCGTGGCGATTTTGAGATTATATTCGAGGTACGTTCGCATACTAGGTAATTATTTAAGTGTATAAAAGCATGCTAGGCTTTGATTAATTAATTGCAAAGTAGTATCATGATAGGTGTTGATTGGAATTTGTTGATTGGATTGATGTTGGTGATTGATTTGTGTAGTATGAATTATTGGTGGTGAATTGTTGATGGAATTAATTATGTTGGCATGTTTATGAACCACACTTTTATTATTGGCATGATTGAGAACATGTTTAATTAAACTAAATGTTTAATTTGGTTTAGAGTATTGAAAGGGTATTTTATTATGGTTCATATAATTTTTATTTATACTATAAGCATGAGAAAGGAGCTATATATATTTAAGTGTCTATGTACACGATAATTAAATTATATTTTGGTGCCTAAGTGAACTTAAGGTGTTTTAAACACCGAGAAATAAGATTTGTGGCTCATTATGCGTTAAAGGTGTTATTTAACACCGAAATAGTTTAAAAAGGATTCAACATTATATTTATATGGTCACTAATTATTCAAGAATTAAATTGGTATGTTTGATTGCTTGAATGATTTATAATGATTGATTGTGTTATGGACTTATGGTTTGAGAGTCATCACCAAGTCTAAAAAAATGTAAATAATGTAAAGTGAAAGAGATTACGCAAAAAAACTCTTGGAACGTATATACCTTGAGTATGAACATATGGGGGGGGGGAGTTATCGGGTTTTATATTTAACCATAACTTCTAATGGGATTACAGGACGCTGTACATTCCTTTTTATTATGAGCAAGAATTCCGCCACTGACGAGTGGTTCTTTTATACAGGCACGGTTAGCTCCCGTGTTAATATTCCTTTATTGGGGCAGGTTAGGGGGGAAACCTGTTCGATGCTGTAGGGAATATTTCAAGCATTATCCCTGACTTGAACCCCACTGTGATCATACACTAAAGTACGGTGGCGTCTAAAGGGAAAGAAGATAGAGCAAAAGAGTCGCCAACAAGTTTTAGGAACTTGTAAACCGTTCACGGGGTGAAGGTTACACCCCTTAACGATCCATGAGATCGTCAACTCCAATAGGTCTGGAACCATGACTGGTAGTTCGGGGATGAAGGTACAAATCCAACTTAAAAGAGATTGAACCTGCCCTAATATAGGCCTCTACTTTATCCTGATCGTATTCATGTGCGCTTTCTGACTAACATGCAATCAATAGGATTAACCCTAAACCTATTTATCTATGTTGGTTGAATATTAATGCACAAATAAACTATTATTGGCGATCACTTGAATTATAATCAAATTAACCATAAATAAGATTATTAATTATCTTATTAAATGTGATTACAAGTACCAATTCCCTTTAAACATGCATAAAAGGTGTGATCAAGCAATAACAATAAATATATATCAAGCAATAATAAATCAAAATAATAATTATAATAACTTTAATCATCATCAAAATAATAATAATCATAATTATCATAATCATGTTCATGTTAAAGCATAATAATACCAAGATCCTAGGCATGATACTAACAAGATTAATAACAAACCCTAGCATGTCACTAAGCAATAAACATCAAAGCTTTAACCCTAACATGAATACATGATACTAACATGAATATTAGAAAGAAATAGGAAGCATCATAGGAAACACAATTGTCATATTTGATTATAGAAATTATAGTTGTTACCCTAAACATGATACTAGGAAGATCAAAACACCCTAACATGACACTAGGAATCATAATATAATAACAATCTAGACATGATTTCTAAATCATAATATCAATAAATAAATTAAAGCACTTACTTGGATTCCTCGTATCTCTTTCTAATAACAAAATACACGCGTTAGTAACTTCTAGGAAAATAATAAACAAACAATTAAACTAAATAATTGAAATAAATCTTGGGACCAAACCCTCAGAAATATCAAACCTTTCACGTCTAGGGCGAAGGCAACTTCGAACTTGGCTAGGTATGTCTAGTGTTAATGTATGAGGAATTGTGTTTGTAAAAGGGTTGGCTAGGTTTAGAAAGAGAGAGAGAGAGTAATCAAGAATTTCTTGGTGAGAGTTGATGAGAATTAGATGAGAAGGATTGATGAGAATTGATGATTGAAAACAGAATTTTAAGAGGCTATTTATAGAGAAAATCAGTCGGATAGATAAAAAAAACGAATCAGAGTTTCAACGAGAATAAAACACGATTAGCGCCAAACGCTGTTCATTAGCGCAAAGCATTGAAGGTTAGCACCACTCACGCGTTTTGTTTTTATCATATCTTTTGATCCGAAAGTCCAAATAAGGCATATAATATGTCTTTGGAAATCTCTTGAAGTCTACTTTCTAACCCAATTTGAATCAGATTTAAATCTTTTGCAGATAAAAATATATGGCCGAAATAGTGGAAGGGTATCAATTTTGGATAGAGTTTCATATTCCATTCTTATCTTTTTCGTTATAACTCGGATATAATATTATAATATATCATTGGAAAGATAATTTCAAGATCTATCCAATCATATAAGATTTGGTTAAATATTATTATGCACGAAAATAAAAGCTTAATATATTCCACTTCGTACAAAACAAGGATTCTAAAAAGGAGTAGTTTTATTCAATTTCAAACTCTTTAAAACATAATTATCAATCCTAACTCCATTAGGATTTAAAAGAACCTTCTAGATTATTCTAGAAGACTATAATCAATCCTAATAGCTTTAAGAATGATAATTAATAATAGGCCCTCCTCTAGATCATTGGGCCGCATATAAAAACCAAACCGGACCCAGTTTAGTATTTTGGCCATAATTTACTCATTACTCATCAGAATTAGGCTTATAATATATCGTTGGAAAGGTCTTTTCAATCCCCATCCAACTACACTATTATTGGACCCTTATCATGGACCAAACTAAACTGGAATGCACGTTTTTCATAAATAAGGTAAGAAAATAAATATTTTCAAAATTAGAAAGAAGAGATATTTTAATAAAAACATCCTCATCACTAGACTTTTCACACTTTCACTTTGTTCGATAATCAAATGACGTGAAAGGTATTCATTACTGCGTTTAGTTTTGGGGAGACACATTTGGGTGTCTAATGAAGCCCCCACTTTGACTGAGTTTGGAGAAACACAAGTTTCGAAAACAAAAGTCAAAGTAACGATAGGGACAGAGAATGATTCAGAACGTTCTGCGATCCTAAATCACTCTTGTAACGCCAATACCTGCAAACTAGCGTTAGTTAAACAGATAAAAGAGTTAAGAAACGCGTATATTTCACCGTCGAGCACACGTCTCTAGAGGTAACTGATTTGTTGTGACGATCTTCCGCAATCTAGAGAATACCGCCTGAAGACTGCTACGCCTGTAACTACCTCAAATTTCTGCTATGATAGTCTTCAAAAAGATCACTGCTTGTTGATCCTTAATGTTTCTATGCCAGTACGTCGGTGCTTTGCTGCTTGTGAACCAGTATGTCGGTGCTTTTGCTGTGATGACAATCCTCTTTTCTTTGGGAATAGTTGCTAACACAACTCTTGTATGATGTATGACAATCCGATTTAGGGAAAGTTGTCAATGCTTCGTAACAATCCATCCTTGGAAATGTTGCCACGATGAAGCGACAATCTGTATCTCGGAAATTTGCCAAAATCCAATTTTGGGAAAAGTTGCCAATGCTTCGTAACAATCGGTCATAAGAACTTTGCTGCGATCGACAATACACATATTGGAATATAAATCTTGAAAGCAATCCACCTTGGAAATTTTCCAATGATATGGATCTGTAGCCCTGAGTTTTATCTTTAATTTGGAGTTGGTTTCATCCCAATCAGAGTCACTGATCAAAAGTTATGACTAAAATACCACAGCCTTTCTAGTTTAATGCATATACATGAAGTCTTAACTTAGTCTTTGCTTTGGTCCTCTTTGTGGTTTGGTGTATTCCCTGATATGGAAGTTGAACATCTTGTCCGATACAAATCTGATCACGCTGCTTTGTTACTTAGAAAGAAGGGCGAAAGAAAAAAGAAGAAGGACAAAACAAAAAGTTTCAAGTTCAAAACGAGTTGGTTATTGGAGGACTCCTGTGAAAGAACTGTGAGAGAGGCTTGGGTGAGGTCCGAAGGGTGCACAACTGTTGAGAGAATAGCTACTGTAGCTCGGTGTTTGGGGATGTGGAGTTCGAAAAAATTTCAAAACTTGGACAAGCAGATTGATGATGCTGAATCTACTCTCAATTCGGCCCAAGCTCAGAGGTCTTCAGTGGAGAGTGTAATTGAATGTTAGAGGCTTGAGAAGAAGCTTGATGATTTGAATGATAAATTAGAGGCACACTGGTATATTTGGAGCAGAGTTGCGGAAGTACGAGATGGTGACAAAAACACCAAGTATTTTCACCATAATGCTTCTCAAAGAAAAAAGAAAAAATTCATTAAGGGGATTTTTGATGACTAGGGTGTTTGGAGCTTGGATGAAGAGAAAATCGAGGGTATTATTACAAAGCATTTTGAGGCACTATTATCATCTTTGACTCCTTCTGATCTTGACATCCAAGAGGCCCTTGAAAACATAAATCCAAGCATTACTCCAGCCATCAATGCAGAGCTCATGAAACCCTTTACAAAGGACGAGATTTTGGAAGCGCTGAAACAAATGCATCCATGCAAAGCCCCAGGCCCGGATGGTATGCACGCAGTTTTCTATCAGAGATTTTGGCACATTATTGGCGATGAGGTAACTTCTTTTGTTACTAGTATTTTACTCGGTTTCTCATCTCTGAAGCATGTTAACAACACTAACATTGTCTTGATCCCTAAAGTTACTTCTCCCACTATTACTACTGAATATCTCCCTATTGCTCTGTGTAATGTCCTCTATAAATTGGTGTCAAAATCTATTGTTATGCGGCTAAAAAATATTCTCCCTGATATCATCTCCGAAAATCAGAGTGCTTTTGTCCCGGGGCGTCTCATTACTGATAATGCACTCATAGCTCTAGAAATTTCTCATACTATGAAAAATATGAGTAAAAGTAAGAAATGGACGATAGCGATGAAATTGGATATGAGCAAGGCATACGACAAAGTGGAATGGGGTTTTTTGAGAAAACTTCTTCTAACTATGGGGTTTGATGGTCGATGGGTAAATTTGGTGATGGACTGTGTATCTTTGGTTTCGTACTCCTTTGTGATTAATGGAGGAGTCTGTGGGTCGGTCTCCCCAACTAGGGGTCTCCGACAAGGGGATCCTCTATCCCCTTATTTTTTTATTCTGGTGACAGATGTTTTTTTCTAGTATGTTGCAGAATAAAGTTCATGACAGGGCTCTCCATGGAGCCAAAGCTAGTCGCAATGGTCCTGAGATCTCTCACCTTTTATTTTCAGATGATAGCCTTATTTTAACAAGAGCTAACCGATAGGAATGCAAAGTTATAGTTGAATTACTCAACCAGTATGAAAAAACATCTGAGCAGAAAATTAATTATGAGAAGTCGGAGGTTTCTTTCAGTAAAGGTGTGCCTATTGAGAAAAGAGAAGGTTTGATGGAGATATTACATATGCGACAAGTTGACAGACATGAAAAGTACTTTGGTATCCCAACAAACGTTGGCCGATCAAAAAAAGTAATTTTTGAGGCAGTTTTCGACAGGATTTGGAAGAAATTGCAAGGGTGGAAAGAAAAGCTTCTCTTTAGAGCAGGGAAGGAAATTATTCTTAAATTTGTAATCCAAGCCATTCCAACTTATCTGATGGGCGTCTACAAATTTTCGAGTCTGATTATCCAACGCATTCATTCGGCTATGGCACGGTTTTGGTGGGGTTCGAGTGAGGGTAAAAGGAAAATCCACTGGAAGAATTGGGATTATATGTGTACTCTGAAATGCCTTGGGGGTATGGGATTTCGTGATTTAAGTGTGTTTAATGATGCTCTCTTGGGAAGGAAAGCTTGGAGGCTTGCGACTGCTCCTTCTTCTTTCCTTTGTCGTGTATTCAAGGCAAAGTATTACCCTCATTCCGATTTCCTTGATTCATATCTCGGCTATGCAGGGAGTTATTCGTGGCGTAGTATATGGTCTTCAAAAGCTATAGTCAAGGAGGGGGTTTTGTGGAAGGTTGGTAATGGTCGCAACATCAACTTGTGGTCGGATCCTTGGGTGGCCGATGAGGATGGACGATTTATTCTGAGCGAGGAATCTGATTCGCTGTCAAGAGTCTCTGATCTTATTGACGCTGATAGAAAAGAGTGGAAATATAATATTCTTGATGAGTATTTCAATGATAGAGATGTGCGATGTGTTTTAGAAATTCCGCTTAGTGAAGGTGACTGTGAAGACGAAATTTCATGGGCATTTTCGAAGACATGGGACTATATTGTCAGTTCCTCTTATTAACTCGGGAAGGGTTGTGATCTAGATCAATTCCACCACACGTGGACTGAAATTTGGAAGGCGGATGTGACCCCAAAGGTAAAACATTTCTTCTGGAGACTATGTTCAAAGACTCTCCCTGTGAAGAGTCTTCTGTTTAATCGTCACCTCACTATGGATAGCTATTGTCCGTGGTGCACTTAAAAATCCGAGACTGTTTCCCACGCCTTTGTGGGCTGTAGACGAGTGCAGATCCTTTGGGAAGACTGTGACTGCTCTGAAATGTCGAATTTGGGGGAGTTTAACTCCATTTATGATCTTGTGGTCAGCTGGAAAGGATTGGGTTCGAAGGTTATTCAACGAGGTATGTTCCTTGCGTGGAGTATTTGGGTGGAAAGGAATTCCAAAGTTTTCCAGAACAAGACAACCCCAAACACTGTCATTGTTGATCGAGTAACCAGATATGTAGAAGAGCAAGGTAGTTATGCCATACGGATTTATGGAACTGCTGGTTTACGTGCTCCTCCTAGTCCAAATAAATGGTGTGCTCCACCCAGGAATGTTGTGAAGATAAATGTTGATGCAAGTCTAGCTGATGTGGGTTGGGTAGGACTGGGAGCTGTAGCGAGGAACCATAAAGGCATAGTTTTAGTGGCTGCTACAAGAAGGAGCCGCGCGTTCTGGTCTCCAGAAATCGCTGAAGCAAAGTCCCTGCTATTTTCCCTGAAGCTGGGTAAGAGGTATGGTTTTTTTGAAATCATTTTGGAGTCGGACTGCAAAGTGGTTATTGATAGGCTGTCAAGGTCTTCGCAGTCAGTTGAACTTGATTCGGTTCTTGGGGATATCCTAGAGCTATGTACTTACTTTGTGTCGGTCTCTTGGTCACACGTTAAGCGTGATGGAAATTGTGTTGCGCATAATCTAGCAAAATTAGTTCCTTTTGGTTATGAACAAACTTGGGAAAATCATTGTCCCCAAGATGTTTCTTCTTATGTTCTCATGGACTCTTTGTCCCTTGATTAATGAATGGAACCATTTTTGCTCAAAAAAAAAAAAAAAAAACTTAGTCTTTGATTGAGTCTAGTCACATAGTCTAGCCACATGGTCATGACACGAGTCTTAACATGTCACCTACACTCACTAGTATTAGCACACACTTTGTCACCATGACCATGTCTTAGGTTCATGCATGAGTCGTTCTTTCCGTCACTTGAGTTGGGAGTACATATTATTCCTAATTTTTCCATTTCTCTCCATTTACTTCATCTTTTCATTCTCTACATGCTTTCCCCATATCACAATATTCATTCTTCCTACCTTCTTCTATCCATGCATGTTGAATCAATTTTGAGTCATGTGATTGACAATCGAAAAAAAACGAAGGTAATGATGAAACAAATGCACAAGACAAGCTTCTCACCAAGATTTCATTCTTTCTTCTTCTTTTTTTCAAACCCTTTCCCCCATAAGTCTAGCATAGACACCCTTTGTCTTCCTTAGATTTATTTCATAGGGTTTTTTTTTTTTTATTTTGCTCCCCTTTAAAAAAATGAGCATTTATTTCCTTACATATGATCATTGCATTCATTGCATTGCATTAAAAATAAAAATAAAAATAAAACCATGTCAAGCTAAGCACAAGGTATATCAATGATTTGAGGCACCCTTTGTAGCCACATTATATCACCTTTCACCTTTCAAATATGCAATCTTTTTTTGGTAAACCACTTTGAGCCTCGTCTAACGATAGACCCTTCATTTTTTCAACCCATATCTACCTAACTTTGGGATGGGATTGTGTGCAACTTATGCAATTTTCAATTTCATAAAAATCTTGAGTGATTCAAAAGATTAAAATAGCAAAAATAAGCAATAAATAAAAGTGTACAAAAGGGCAAGTGTTCCAATGTCTTTGATATGAAAATTTCTTTGATAAGAACACGTCTCAGATTGCGTCTCTTATCGAGTGCTCGGTACCGTGCCTGAGAAACATGAATGCCAAGTGAGTGATAGACCGCATGATCGTGATTGCCCACACTTATAAAGATAAAAAAATGCAAAAGCAAAAAAAGAGAGCGAAAATAAAATAGAGCTCAAAAGTGAGAAATCTCAAGCATAATAATACAAGGATCCAAATGCAAGGTTGCACACCTTGGGGGCTTATCTAGGGTCTTGAGCCTTTTATCCCTTTCTTCTTCAACCTTTAGCCTAACCAAGTTACAACCCTTGACCTTTTTGAGGTATACACACTTGTGCGAGGTTCGGCTAGAGCTACGTTCGGCCTGATTCCTAACGGATACGTAGGCAACCTCACGTTGAGGTGAGACCGTAATAAAAATACATTCATATTCACATTCACACACTCACACAATGATCATATCAAGGGATCTCCTATGCTCATCCCTATTCATTTAGAGATAGACTAAGGGGCTTGATCCCTACATCATTAGCTTACCTAGCCCAAGAGTCACCATCATTTGACTCTTTTCAATATCTTTTTCCACACACTTAGCCCTTGCAACCTAACTTTAGTATCACTTTCACACACCGCACAGATACATGACCAAATATACTTTCCCTTAGGAACCCTTTGTCATGAAATCTTAACATAACACTGAAGCATGCCTTGTCATGTCAAAATCTCTCATCACTCATCATTGCATCACAAAGTACGAAGTGCTTAGCCTCCGTGCCTAAGTTACCCAAATACTTTCATCATGGAGTCAACAATTGAAATAGCCTAGGATGAATAAATCCTTTCACAACATTTAACTAAGCTCATTCAACATGCACCTTCAAAAACTTCGCTTCTTTCTTTTTCGCGTCTTTCTTTTTCGGGAGAAAGTCGGTACCCTCCACAAAAATGACTAAATTTTTTTGCTTTTTTGCATTTTTGAGTCGCACGATCACAATACAATGCACACATGGGTCATGAGTCACACGTGTCATTTCACTTCGAGTCGAGTCAACCTCGAGTCAATCACAGCGAGTCGAGTTTATACCTTGAGTCGTGTCAAGTCGATGAGTCAAGCAACTCTAAACCTTTGGTCAACCCTAAAATAATTAAAGAGACTAGCAAAGTCCTATAGTCAAAGATAAATACAGGTGCATCCCAGCGGCAGCAAGATCAGGATAGGGAAGACCCTACTCCAGCGCTAGACGATAACATCTAGCAACAGATTTCAATGCCTGGCGCTAGATCCCAGCGTCTGGCGACAGAGCCAAATCGCAGCGCCAAAGGCAATTGCAGCGGCGACAGAACGCTCAACCACTCAGAGCAGTTATTTCAACCTCTTTCAGCAATTTCGGGTTCCCTGGTACGCCAGTTAGCCCCTGTAAGCAATTTGAATTGACATGATTAAGTAGTCGGCTTGATTAAAATCGCAATAAGTGATCGACCTGACGAAAGATCGTCTCACTTAGCTTAAAGCGCCTAAACATTGGCTCATCGCAGAGACACCGACATACTGGTTCATAAACAACAAAGGCACCGACATAATGCTTCACAAGCAGCAAAAGCGCCGACGCACTGGCATAGTGGAAGCAAAGTTCAAGCGAGCTTTAAAGATCGACAAGCATTGGTCTTTAGAAGTTTTCTTCGGAATATTATCGCAACAAACATTCAAGTATCAAAGCTCTTTTGTTCAGAGACACGTGGACAATTCTCTCAAAAGCTCTTTATTCAGAGACGCATGGAAATATCATCAAAGCTTTTTTGTTCAGAGACGCGTGGACATTTCTTTCAAAGCTCTTTTGTTTAGAGACGCGTGGACATGTCATTCAAGCTCTTTTTTTCAGAGACGCGTGGACATATCATTCAAGCTCTTTTGTTCAGAGACGCGTGGACATATAATTCAAGCTCTTTTTTTCAGAGACGCGTGGACATGTATTTCAAGCTCTCCTACTCAGAGACGCGTGAACAATCCTCAAAAAGAAGCTCTTTTGTTCAGAGACGCGTGGAAATTTCTTCCAAAAAAGCTTTATCGTTCAGAGACGGGTGAACATTTAAACAGCAGGATGGCGTTCCCTATATTGTGGAAAGTTATCACAACAACAAATGCAGCAACACAAATCGGTTTCCTTCGGAGACGTGTGCTCGACGGTGCAAGATACGCGTTTCTTAATCTCTTATCTGTTTTAACTAACACTAGTTTTGCAAGTATCGGTGTTATAAGAGTGATTTAGGATCGCAGTACGTTCTGAATCATTCTCTGTCCCTATCGATACTTTGATTTTTGTTTTCGAAACTTGCGTTTCTCCAAACTCAGTCAAAGTGGGGGCTTCTGTAGACACCCAAATGTGTCTCCCCAAAACCAAACCCAGTGATGAATACCTTTCATGCCATTTGATTATAAAACAAAGAGAAAGTGTGAAAAGTCTAGTGATGATGATGTTTTTATTAAAATATCTTTTCTTTCTGTTTTTGAAAATATTTCTTTTCTTACCTTATTTATGAAAAACGTGCATTCCAGTTTAGTTTGGTCCATGATAAGGGTCCAATAATAGTGTATATGGATGGGTCTTGAAAAGACCTTTCCAACGATATATTATAAGCCCAATGCCGATGAATACTGAGGAAGTTATGGCCGAAATACTAAACTGGGCCTAATTTGGTTTTTATATACAGCCCAATGATCTAGAGGAGGGCCTATTATTAATTATCATTCCTAAAGCTATTAGGATTGATTATATTCTTCTAGAATACTCTAGAAGGTTCTTTTAAATCCTAATGGAGTTAGGATTGATAATTATGTTTTAAAGAGTTTGAAATTGAATAAAACTACTCCTTTTTAGAATCCTTGTTTTGTATGAAGTGGAATATATTCAGATTTTATTTTCGTGCCTCATAATCTTTATCCAATATTTATATGGTTGGATAGATCTTGAAATTATCTTTCCAATTATATATTATAATATTAAACCAGAGCTATAACGAAAAAGATATGAATGGAATATGAAACTCTATCCAAAACTGACACCCTTCCACTATTTCAGCCATATTTTTTTATCTACAAAAGATTTTA